GTCTACCACCTACCTCTCTCTCTCTCTCTCTCTCTCGACCCATTTATAGGACTTTGGAGGAGAGGAGAGGGGAGGGAGGGAGGGAGGAGGTGGGATTGTGCGCTTCGATTGGAGGGGATGGAGGAGGAGGAGGCGAAGAAAGAGAGGAATGAGGAGGTGGAGAGTGATGGTGGTGATGGTGGAGTAGAGATGGTGAGAGTACTGGTGGTGGATGACTCCCCTGTGGACAGAAAGATAGTGGAGATGCTGCTCAAGAAGAGTGGAAGGATGTTTGAAGGTAAGTGGATTCTCTTAATTGTCAGGTTCAACAATCTAGATCTGTGGACTGGTTCTTGTAGTTCATCTGTTGATCCCTGTTTTGTGAGACTGCTTGTCGCCATTTGCCAATTTGATCTTTCCCGAAACCCAAATCATAACTTCAACACACAAAGTTGAGTTAGTGAAAGTGGTCTAAATCATTACGAAACCCACATGCAAGTCTCGATTGTCTCTCAGGATGCATAGTTCTGCTACCTAAGCAAATTAAAGCCAACTCAACACAGTTTCCTTCACAAGAGAAGGTCTAAACTCAAAAGGACTCCGGATCTTGGACACAGAGAATGAGATCTCAAGCACCCCTACTTGTAGAAGTCCATGATAAGGATGCCCAGGCCACCACCAAAATCCACATTTCATCAAGCTGAGGTGATAAGCAACTTCTTTCCACCTTCAGGGAGAAAGAGGTGGCATAATACCGCCAATGCCGGTCCCAAGCCTGGCTGAAAAGGGTATATAATTGCATTAGACCACTAATATTAGATCTGTAGTTGTAGGTGACAAGCATTCTTAGTGGGTATTTCAAATGAATCTTTAGTGTTTGGTAAACCACATTATAAGTTCCACTGTTAAGTTTGCAATTCTATTTTTTTTGCTTGTTTCTATAGCTGGCATTTACATGTAGAGCAAATGCAAATTTATCTCAGAGTCACTTGCCTTCTAACAGTCTGCATTATTTTTCTGACACTGAGTTCTGCATGTAGTGTTGCCTCCAGCAAAAGAATGCAAGATCCAAACAGGGTATTCACTTAGGGCTAGAAGTCATCCTACACCAGCTCATATCCTTGTGAGCCTAATCTATGATGATTTAGGACTTGACCAGAATTATCATTGATGAGGCTGCCATAGAACAATTATCCTTCAGTAATTAGATTGTCCCCCATATTGTTTTAAATTCCTCATCCTGAAGATAATTTTAGTTGTCTTTATGTCAATCTGAAAGATTGCAGATTTTGACAATCTCATTTGATAGTAAAAACTCTCCTTCTGAATAAACAAAGCCAATGTTTTTGCTCTCTTTAATCTCTTTCAGAACACTAACTTTCTTCATTTGCATTTTCAGTTATTGCCGTTGATTCGGGGGAGAAAGCAATGGAAGTTCTTGGCTTGAGCGGAGTAACGATTGGAAGGCCTCATTTTAATGTATGTTAAATTTCCTAAATTCATTCTTAGTTGTTGATGTTTTCTAAATTCTACAATTAAAACTATTGTGTTATAGGCTGGTCAAAGATACGCTTCTATAAGATATCAAAAGGATACACGATAGCAATCAATCTATTAGTTTTTAACTAAGACATAAATAGACCCTAAAGGGATCACACATTGCCAAAGAGTTATCTAAACATTTGCAGTTACATTCTTAGTTGAAATTTGTTGTTTTGTTAATGTATAAATATTTTGAGCAATTAACAAAAAATATATACAAACAAGTTTATATTGCTGAGACGAAAATGTTGTGGTGATCGTGTGTAGTTACTAGAAAAGATGAGGAAAACAGATACTTCCATTCGTGAATAATTAGGTGTACTTTCTCTATAAAGGCAAATTGACTTGTATTTAGACATGAATATGACCTGCCACATCACCTTGATGCTTAAACCTGATCGATCGGAATGATGCTGTGCAGGAGCAGAAAATTGATGTAATTCTTACCGACTATTGTATGCCACAAATGACTGGCTATGACCTTCTCAAGGCTATCAAGGTATGCAAATGTTACTCTTTTTTCCTCCCAGCAATCAACTTATAGTTTTGTAATTGTAGCATAACTTTATCTGCCAATTTATGCTTGCTCAAGATCTAATTAACTTTTTGTATTTTTCCAGGAGCACGACAGCTTAAAATCCATACCTGTAGTCATGATGTCATCTGAAAATGATCCTCAGAGAATCAGCAGGTATATTGTTAATTTCTGGACATTTTTGCATCGTCAGATAGAATTTGAGCTCTGCAGATGCTGCTCATGCCAAAAGAAGTTAATTAGCATGTCAAGTTCAAGTGTTAGTGCAAGTGAATGAAAGTAATTAGAACAAAATATGTTTGCTCGATTAAGTTGGTGACCGCTGCTACTCAAATAATTCATAGCTGTTCTATGCTTCCAACTGGAGATCATTCTTTACCAAAATTCTTCAGTTACATATGCAGCATGAGAGAAAAATAGAAAAAAAACAGCATGTACCAAAACTAATTAGATTTGACTTCTGAAATCTGTATTTTCTTTTCTACTTTTCGGGATGCTGATTCTCTTTGTGCAGGTGTGGAGGTATTGGAGCTGAAGATTTCATCCTTAAGCCACTAAAAGTAAAAGATGTCCAGAGGTTAATAACTTATGCTGTGCCAAGAACTCCAATATCCAAATCAGGTACCAAGAGGAAGCTGCCAGTAGATTTGGTAGCCGAAAACAGTGGTTACGAGACGTGTCAACGGGTTGCTAAAGTTGCTGTTGCATGATGACTAATTCTCTGATGACTCTTTTTGACACTATAATATTAGTGATCAAATGTCGAAAGGTATAAGATCAGCAGAACGAGTTTTTTCTTATCTGTTCCACATGAACAAATTTACATTCCATTGAGTTCATGGAGATTTGGTTATACCATTAATTCTGGTGCATTAGTGGAAAATGATGGTATGCAGATGGCAAATAGTCATCCTGAAAAACTATACTTGTTCTTGACTTACCGATCGATTAGTTTGCTGTGGCAGCTGAGTAGAGATGCTTGTAACAATTTGGAGGCTTTGGAGTTCAATGATTTGTTGTGTCTTTGGTTACATTAATGCTATCCATTGATCAGCTTCTCTTGATGCCAAGCTGAGCTTATTCTCATTATATTTTCCTTGCTGTTTAGCATAGAATTAATTATTTGCATTCAAAGCAGTTGAATGCATACAATGCCTTGAAAGAGAGGAAACTCCCTCCCTCCCTCCCTCCTTGTCCATCCAACACTCCAAATGCTCTCAACCTATCTGTTTACTGCAATTTTGATGGAAGATTAAATGATGAAGCTTATCACATGTATGTACATACAAATTCATGTTGTCAGTTTGAAAGCTAAATTCACACTCATATCAGAAAAAACAATGTTCATCTGCATCACACTGTTTCTTTTCTTCTGTTCAACTTCAATTGGAAAGAACAAGAATGGTGATTGAGCTTTGTTCTAGCAAATTAATGACCATCTTTGAGAGAGGTGGAGTTCTCCCAAACCCAGAAGAGTTTGTATCTGCCATTCTTAAGGTCATTGAGCCATGTCATAGCAAATTAAAACCCAGCTATGTGCTCCTCCAAGTTGGAGTCTTCCCCAACCCACAAGAGACCTTCCTTCACCTTTCCCTTTCCCTCTCTATCAAGGTGGCACCTAACAGCCACTTGAAAGCACAGGTGATGTGTCCATGGCAGACCTCACCTCATTGACTGAACAAAATATCTTCTCTCTCTTTCTCAGCATGTCACTTGGTGTTTGACACATTCAAACACTGCCATGCTTACCCTACCCCACACATAAAATAATAAGCATAATAACAATTAAAGTATATAAATTGTTTTTATATTTCCAAAAATACTCCTTCCAAACACAAAATTATGCCTAAATCTTCAAAATGATTTACTTCAATCTTTTTGTCATTAACATATGATCTATGATACTTTACTAGGGTATTTATATAATCATTAATACAACATTATTTTAATCAGCCATAGCATTCCTAGACCAAATCTTGATGAGGAAAATGGAGTGGGAATGATTCTTCTGATTTCAATATGATCAAGGACAAAATCCAATCATGGGTTCATTTATCTAAAGAGGCTTGACCTAGAAATAGTGTGGCCACATTTAACATGAAATGTGGAACTACTCAATTGATCATCAAATTTACATTTTAGCTGTCTTCAACGTGGAGTTGAGTAGATTGTGTGAAGAATTTTTTTTTCTTATTTCTTAGAGCGCTTTAGCCCGAGCGTTCTAACTATATGAAAAAGATCATTTTATCCTTGTAACTTTAAAAAATTTTCATCCCAACCTCAATCTTAGTCATGCCTCTGCTTATCTCTAGTCGCTCGCTCAAATCATTGGCCCTCGCACAAAGATGCAGACGACTAAAGGAGGAAAGGGGGACGATTGGTATTGTTTGTCAGTCTGGAAGAGAGAGGTGGACAATAAGACTAGTATCTCTACAAGGAGAGGATGAGACCGACATTATCTACCAATTTGTATATACAAACAATTAAACGAAAAAAAAAAAACGAGACCAACAAATACAGGATGATTGGTGTGATAGAATCACGATCGATGATAAATAAAGATAAAATAATTATTTTTTAAAAAATTATGAGTTCTTTTTCAAGCTTGTAGTGTCCTACGAGAAGAAAAAAAAATAAAGTCAGAGGTTTTTTTTTTAATATTCACCCCTAATTAAAAAATAAGAAGAAATAAAAGTAGGGAGACATCTGCTCGGCGACCTAATTTTGCTGTGCTCACAATTTCCATTTGTGAGGGTCAATTAATATTCTTTTAAGGCATCATTTAAGACAAGATGGGCAAATTGTGGGGGCATTAATGTCCACTTCTTTCCGCGTTCTTTCTCGGTTGGTGGTACGAACTACGTTGACCCAAAAACCCCATCTTTTGGTTTCGTCCGTCAAATTTTAGGAAGAAAAGAAGCGATAAATACGAATCCATCTAGCCATCTTGATGTTCGTAGTAGGATTCGGAGTTCGGCAGCCGCTGTGAACTGCGCAAGCCAGTACAAATCGATCTTCCGAGCTGCTGGTTTCGGATTCACGGTACTCCTCAATCTTGCTTTCTAGAAAACCCTACCTAGTTGCGGAGTCGATATCTTCTCGACTTCGATCGATCATCGAAGCTCAAACGATCCTGTCTTTTTTTTTTTTTTTTTCTGCCGGAATTTGATCCTTTGACACGGCATGGTTGTTCGATATCTTTGAGGAATCGGTGCAATTTGGTCCTTCGTTGACGAGGACGGAGCGGAAGGGTAAGGTTCTCAAACGCTAGCGTAGATTTTTAGGGTTCCGGGATTCATTACTCTGTGAGTTTACTTGTGCGTGAGCAAAATTCCAAAACCATAGAAAGAACTGCCTTTTGATCTCTTACACGGATCAAGAGTCGTGACATATAAGGGGAAAAAATCGGATGGTAACTTGGAGCTCTTGTAAAGCTCAGAGCTTTGATGAATTCACGGCGATCCAAATCCGTGAAGCTTGTTTCGTCCCATTCCCAATCCATAGAAGTAGAGTTAGGAGAGTGCTCCCAAATGGGTTCTTCCATTGACAACACGGTCTACTGTTGCATCGCCAAGGGGAACAAGATTCTGTATTCTTACAACAGCAAAGGCCACGAGCTCGAGACCTTGGCCATTCTCTGCCTTGAGAATGCGCCAGCTTTCCACAAATGGTACTTCCACTCCATCGGGACCAGGACTTTTGGATTCTTGACGGCAGATGGCCACACATACTTCGCCATCATTGACCCTAGCGTCGGGAATTTGGCGATTCTTCAGTTCCTGGAGCACATTCAAGATGGTTTCAGGAAGGTGGCAAAGAATGGTTTTCATGATGACTTGGTGCCCATCGTCCAGCGGCTCATAGCATCCTTGGAGAACATGCCTCGATACGCCTTCTCATTGGACGACAATTCCGAGGGCACAGCATCTAGTGATGGTTCCACATCGACAAAGGCACCATTGCTAGGGAAGAACAGTGGCAACCATCACGACAAGAAGAAGATGAAGGATAAAGTGCTTCAAAGTGATGATGTGATTGAAGATGATGCTGATAGGACAGTGAAGATCGATATGCCACCACAGACAGTTGGTGCCATGTCACTGCCAAGGAGCTTGAGCTCGACGAGACTTCGTGTGCAACAAGCAGGAAGGAGATTGTGGTGTCGGCATGTAAAGATAGTGATAGCTACCGATATAATCATCTGCCTGATCCTGTTTGGTGTTTGGTTGGCAGTGTGCAGGGGCTTCCATTGCGTATCGGGGAAATAGAAGAAGAGGGATTGCATTTGTGAACAAGAAAGGTAAGAAACACTTTGCTAGATGGATTCAAGTAGTTTCTTGCGTAAGAAGCTGAGATGTAGTTTTACAAACATGGAAAGAAATTTCGTTAGCATGTGGATGAATCCCCTCAGAAAGAATATGAATTGAGACGTGCAGTATTCTAGAAAGTGATGCTGTGAAGATTCAGGTGAAGGAAGAAAGTTCTTGGATATGCAGCACTTGTGGCACGCCAGTGACTCATTGCTGTCCGCGGCATAAAATATACGATACTTGTTGCTAGTGTAATATGAATACTTGTTTTTCCTCCTTTTTCTTGGTTCTTGTGGATGTTAGTCATACGTCAACAGCTGTTCATATGTATCATATTTCTAGATCGACTTCTCGCTTAGAGGATCTTTGGCATGATGACAATGCTTAAAACATTCGAGCTTTCTGTTTGTCTTAAAATGATGTGAAATTTCCCGATTGCCACTAATATTGTATTTATTTGCCTGCTTTTTACACTTAATTATCATCATGGATTGTCATAAATTTTCCACTAATTCTGGATTGTAGTCACACAAATTAGTTATTATCTATACTTTGCTAGCTTCAGATGTGGATATTGGAGGAGAGCAGACTTCCTCTGTTTTCATCCACCATTGTTAAATTGCATCACTTCAGACGCTTCAGCTTCTTTTGCCTCCTTTGTTTGTGAATGAAACGATCTCTGCTATTGTAGAAACTAAATTTGAGCATTGTCTATGATGTTAAAGAATCAGAGTGGGATTTGTTGTTATTTCCATATGGATTGCTCGGATGATTTAGCAGATGCCTAAACAATGATTATGTTGTATGATGATGTGAACACAATCATCATCCATCTCTCAAGACAACTCATGTAGGTATTATCTATCCTACCAATTGGACTAGTTAGCACCAATCAGAGTTTCACTATTTTTACAGCATAGTTGAGCTCACCATCAATCGAGGCAGAACTCCTAACCTAATTTGTTGAGTTGGATTATGTTTAACCAATACATATCATGTTAAGAATTAGATCCGTCGATGGCATCCTTGATTTGATCTGTTAGTAGTATCAAGAACTTGAATTTTGGATCATCCACAACTGTTATTAATGAACACTCAACTCTGACATTTTCCAGCTTTAAATCCTCGATGTTGGGATTGCTATTTAGTTCTATTAAGAAGCTAAAGATAAAGGATTAAGAGTACGATTGCGAATACATTTGAAATATATATTGAGGTTATTTGATATTTTTCTTTTGTAAATCACGTTCGACCTGAATGTTGTATTGTAAATGTTCTGTTTGATGTTATCTCAAGATAGCAGTAACATTTCAATATTTCTATAAACATATTGCAGGCATATTATTATATACTATCTTAAAGGAATAAAATAAAATTAAAAAAAGCTAGAACTCTTATAGAACATGATCAAATTAAAATGAGTCCATGACACAAGACTCCTGTCAATTCGCATCGACGAGATATAAAAACTTAGGATAGAAAACATTATAATTATTAGTTTAATGGAGATGGGTCAAATTTACAGGAATAATAAATTTTAAGGCATATGAAAACTGCATAATCCATTAATATAATTCAAACCCTTTAGTTTTTCCAGAACTGTAACCTTAGATAACAGTTGAACAAAGTTCTAAAACACTTACAAAACCTTTCTGATGAGAGTCAAAGGTGATGACTTGTAAAGGCTTGAGCCAACAATTGCCATGGAGTGCAAGAAGCATTTGATTATTCCTACCACTGTGACCATTAAAAGCTCCCAAGCATCCAGAGCTTATGAAGTAGGCCTATGGATTTAGTTTCATGTCGCATAACATGGGATCTAACTTGCTGAGCTGCTAATTGGATTCAGAAACACAAACGAATCATCATTGCTGAGCTGCTAATGACCTTTTTCGCTCTTCACTTCTGTACAACCTCCACAGGGCAGAACACCCCCTCGTTACGAGATAGTGTGAGAGAACACTAGTAAGATTTGCTAAGGAAGTTGTGCAATTTCAAGCAAAATTTTATTCAGCGACTGTGGCCGCGAGAAGAAGGGGCAGTGATCACACCCTTTGATCTTGTAGATCCCATGAGGAGGGTTCTCCCTCACCAGCTTCTCCTGGACGTCGGGTGAGAGCATGTGGTCATCAAGTGTTTGGATGAAGAAACGTTTCGCCGTGCCATAGTTTTCGGGCGTGAGGGACAGCTTCTCCATGATGGGTGCCAATGGGATAGGTCTCATGGATACTGCAGCCAACGCGATATCCTGCATTACTCATGGAACATAAATTTATGAGAACGAACTTCAGTCTGGAACGCAAGCTAATGATACATTTGATATGGCAACCAGAATCATCGAATAGATAGTTTCAGAATCATATGTTATCAGTTTTCTTCACATGGAATAAGCTCTAGAAGGCTGTAGAAAAGGCTCAACATTTGCAAACTAGGGTCAACCCTTTGTTTGGCTCAAACCAGGCACATTCTCGAGATCAGTCATACTACCTAAATGGCTTACTTATGTTTGTTGGTGCAACAAGCAGTCTCAAGTGTGCTTGGCTTGTTAAAAGCCAGAGTTAATACACTTTATAATAATATATTATATAATTTATCACTTTACCTCGATTTTATGGTTCAATTTAACAAGATGGTGGATCCTGAATATATTAACAACTAAATTTTGGGCTTCTAGACCTTAGCCTTGTACTCTCTCTCTCTCTCTCTCTCTCTCTCTCTCTCTCTCTCTCTCTTTCTCTTCCCCTCACACACACATACAATTTTTTCTTCCCCATCTAAACTTTATCCCAACCTCATAGTGTCATGGCCATCCTTCAACAAGCTATGAACCTCAAAACTCATGATTTTGAAGGTGGCGCATGTCTCTCCTCAACTCCTCTACAGCCAACACCAACTTTCATGCTATAGTGACATCATGACATGTGGCCCTCTCCGGTGTGCATCCCTCATCATTCCCACCATCTAGCCCCTTTTGGCTGAGTCCTTCCTTGACAGAGCTGGAGTTTGGCCAAGCTGATAGCAAACATGACTGCTCTTGTTCTAGCTGAGCATCAGCTAAGCATGAACAATGGACCTGTTTGGCAGAGTTGAGAACAAGCAGGTCTATGTTCATTCATGTTCAACTCGTTCCCTTTTAGTGGCAAAATTACTCATTCCCTTTTAGCATCAGGTAATCTTAGTGGTTATCATTCTACTAAAATTATGTGGCAGTCAACAATATGCTAAAATTCAATTACCTTTGGAAACCACAACAAGCACAACAACCATGAGCAAGGATAGAAAAAAAAAAAAGACATAATAAACAGTAAACAGGCACTTTTAACTTCTGCATGTGTTCATAAAAGGCAGTAAATTCAATGTCTAAACAGTAATGACATTCTTTAAACAGACTATCAAACCAAGTTGCATTCATGTTTTCAATGCAAAATTCAGTACAAATATATAGATGGACTCTCAAGAAAATTGTCTCTATAAGACTGCAAAAAATGAAAAACAAAAAAAAATTGGCATCCATCCATTTTAGGTTGGACAAAATACAACTATAGAGACAGTTTTGCAAAAAGGCTTCCGTTAAATCGAAAAATTAGAAAAGCTAGGAGAGTTTGAATCCAAACCTTGGAAGGACTTTGGTTAAAATATAGTCCCTTAATTTGCTGTTTGTCAAACATGAGTCCTGTAGGAGGTTTGTCTCTTCCGTTTCCGTAAACTAGAAACTTGGATTCTTTCAAGAAAACCTCGGCAGATGACAGCTGAAAAGATAGTTGACATGAATAAGGAAGCTGGACAGCACAGAGGAGACAGGAGCAGCAATGTCATAGCTTTAAACTGGGAATAACAGGACTAGCTTATGAAGTCTAAGAAAGTTCTGTCAGTTACCATGCTAACATACACAAAATAGTTTCTGTTGAAATTGCGGATAATAAGCCCTAGGATCCAGTTTTCGCACTTACTTTAAAAAAATAAAATAAAAAGAAGAATAAATATACAAATTTCCCAACTTCAATTGATAATCATAACAGTTATCTGAGGTTATGATAATTATACAAATTTCCCAACTTCAATTGAACTATTGAAACAGTTATCTGAGGTTAAAAAGTGTCATGCAAGATCAGTGTGTATAGTTATTAGATCAGTCAAAGAGGAATCAGCTAAATGTAATATTGGATAAGCACTGCATAACATCGTATAAGCACCACACACACACACACACACACAGATACCCCCCTAAAAGGGAATACTTACTTTATCAGAAAACACATCAAAAGGTTTGTGTCCATCCAATACCATTGTTGCACTGAGGAATACTGCCTTTGATATCTTTTTTGGATAACATTCCAGTGCATAAGATACGCTAGCACCTCCAAAGCTATGACCAACCAATATCACCTATGAAATATATTTGCCAAATTATAAGAAGAACTCAGTTTGCAAAGAAACAAAGACAATACCAAGAGCACCCTTCACCTTTTCATCATCAGGAAGGCTGTGAAGATAATCAGTTAGAGGCTTCGAGTAATCCTCTAAGGTTGTTACGCTGTTTGGATCTGTCAGGTCTATCCCAGAGCCCTTGAGATCCAAAGCAATAGGAAGCAATCCTACTTCCTCCAAAAGAGATAGAGTCTTATACCAACACCAAGCTCCAAATCCTTCTCCATGGACAAGAATGATTTTCTTTGTCTCAAGATTCTCAAGAGAAACTGGATGCTGAAAGTACATTTTGCAAAGTTCCCAAAGATTAAAAGAAAATGGTTAGGCCCTTTCCCCTGAAGAAATTGATTGCACATTATCTAGCTTATAGCGATGTGAAACAGAAACCTAGAACAAGAGCCATAAATATCTTGTATAAAGAAAGAACATGAATGTTTCATGAAGAGCCATATCCTATATCCAGAAATTGGTGAGAAGAATTGAATTTTCAATATGCTTCCATAACTAAAAGTTCAAACTCCTGTAAAAACATAGGTTAAACACAACATAGTACATTCTTAAACAACACAGCAAATCGACTTTGAGTAAGACTTTTAAGTTCCTTTAAATCAATTTTGAGGTATGCCCCCAGAATATCAATAAGTCTATGAAAAGTATACCTTAGGATGAAGTTCACAAATAAACATGCCAACACAATAAAAACTAAGAAACATATGGATTCATATATTGAAATTTGGGAAGGCCTATAGTTAACCTAATATCCAGATTCCAGTACGTTGTGTATGTTTCAGTGACGTAACTCAATAGGTTAAGATTAAGGTACTATTCTATTGTTCTATTCTTTTAGAATATGCAAGTATCGTACTATCTGTGTACAAAAAAGATGGGTTCACAGTGGCTCTCTACTGAAATATGCTTTGCATCAAACATGACAATGGCCAGAAGTAGGAAAGGTCATGGTACGAGAGTTGATTTCAGGGCATCCAACTTTCAAACATACAGCTCATTCAGAGTGGCTTTGCAGAAATAAACAGCATGATGCATGAGATATGAACAGACAAGGAAGCTAGAATTATCATATTACAGATTTTCTTGTTCTTATAAAATAATATGGCTACATATAAAGTGGAGCATACCTACATTAAAAAATAACTTTTGCATGCATCTGCAAAAAATATATCCATCAGCTTTGTAGTCTGGGTTTGTTACATGTGCTAATAAAGGATGTTAACTATTGTTGCACCACCCTTCCAATAAATTAGATCTGAAAGATTTATAGTTCATTTATATAACAGCTGTGACTTCTACATGCCAAGGACTGGCTGTCAGTTTGGTAGTCTGGATTTGTTACATGCGCTAATACAGGATATTTTAAACTGTTGTTGCACCTACCCTTCCAATTAACGAGACCTGATATTTTCATCATTTGTTAATATGATTGCTCCTAGACAACTTGATATCTTTCGATGAATTAAAGTATTGTGGACTAGTTGAAAAAGAATATTGACTACAGGACAACTCTTATGTTAGCTGCAGTTACTCTCTTTCTTCAGAAAGAGAACAATAAAGATTCTTTTCAAGTTGCATGTGAAGCTGGTCGGGAAAAAGCATGTAGTTCCAGTTATGCTGACCTAAGTGGAGATGCCAGTATTATTCTCTGAGCCCATAGTTTAACCTGGGAATTTTGTCATCTTCTGGCCCAGAAAATTGAACTTACTAGGATGGATGTGCACATAGCTCCAAAGTAGAAGTATAAGCAAGTAGCTTTTTACTACTAAATGACATGAATGTGTAAACCATATCCGCAAAAGCAGGATGGTCCACAAACCCTATTAGCATCATATGTTTCAGCCCTTCTGGATGTCATGATTCAGGTACAATCATGAACAGTTTATCCATCCATCACAATTGTACATCTTATCTGGATTTCTTTTTTCTGCCAGTTGAAAATTGTAAAAATTGATGCATAACATCGTCAGGACTATGATTATTTTTCTTTTTGTGGATTTATTACAGTAAGACGTACAACCCTCATGCAACCGATTATGCCTTCATGAATCACAGAGGATCATCGAGAGAAATTACCAGCTTTCCATTAGTAATCGAATCAGGGAGGTCTCGCCGCCGAGAGCTCGTGGACCCAATCCTCCGGGACATGGAGCCTTCGAACCGTTGTGACAACTGGTGCTGCTGAATCGCCATTGCGAGGGCCTGGCGGTGCAGGAGCTCCTCTTCAGACGCCGCCATCTTCCTCTGTGATCTCGACTTGGAGCTCTGCTTGCTCCTTGACCTGATGCCGCCTGCGGGGCCCTTCTTGGGCATACAGTCGAATGCATTGCCCATGGTGGTACTGAAAGAAGGCGAATCGAGTATAAAATTCAAGATCAGGAGGAACAAGAAGGGAAGAGCGTTTCGGCCAGAAACGTTTGTGATCAAAATAAGAAGGGAAGAACTTTAAGAACCCTGAAGAATTATACCACTAGATCATGGTCCTAGAGAACTAGAAAGAAGCAATTCTTGGAAGAATCGATGTGTAATCCCAGTTGTAACGGAAGAATTGCAATTTCCAACGCAAAACCTCCAAAAACCCCAACTTTTCAGGGTTTTTCGTATACAATAAGGCTGGAAGGGGGCGAATTCAAGAATTTCCACTGAGGAAAAGCAGCGAAGATGGATCTGGAAGGGGAAACCCCGCGCAAACAGTTTCTCCAAGAAGCAGCAACTAATAACAAGAACAAAAATTAGATTTTGCGAGCATTATCACAACCGAACACGCAAAAATAACCAGAAACTATGAGGAAAAAAAGGGGGCAAACTCGAGGGGTATCGATTTGAAACTACATGATCAGAAAAAAAAAAAAGATTCCAAGAATAAATCGGGATTATTCGCAGAAAAGATTGGATTTGAGGATGGAGAAGAAAACGCTGGCGAAGAAGAGAGGGATTTCAACCGACGGTGGGAGCAGGTCGAAGGGCCTCAAACGGTTCGCCGGGAGGAAATTTGGACTCTCCTTGTCGCCATTCTCTCTTCGGAGATTGTTTAAGCAATAAGAATCATGCGATTTGGTAGGATGGGGAGAAGAACGGTGCGCTTGTCTTATGTTGCTTTCGAAAGGCTTTGGCGTGAGGAGTTGTGATTGGTGATGATGATGATGGATGATGATGATGCACTCCATTTCCATAACACTATCCATTTCTCCTCCATGTGCATTAAATATGATACCAGATGATCTAATATTAAATATTTAAAAATATTAATTTGATGGTAATGTATCAAAATTATTTATCTCATCTAATAATTTTTTGATAATATTAAAATAAAAAATAATAATTTTAACTCTTAATCGAAATATCCCTCCTTATTATTTATCTTTGTAAATATAAGTATACTATATTTCTTTCTCAAAATTGATTACAGAATTAGTGAAAGAACTTGTGATTCTTAGATACATTCATAATCATTTGTGCCATTAATGGAGCTGAGATGAATCACACAATAAATAATAAAACTTGATTTAATGATATTGTGGACTCAAAAGACCTTTTGACACCAAAAAGAAACCCTTGGAGAGAGAGACAGGATTACCTGCTTCTGTGAAAGACTGGCAAAGAACACCTTATACTTTTGTATAAGGTTTCTTCTGTAACCATTGGTCATTGACCATACTTTTTTTTGTATCAGAAGAAGAACAAGAATCTTCCTTCTTGTGGGAACTCAAGATTAACAATCATAATGATATGCATGGATGTAACTTTCAGGAAAATATATATAATTTATACATATAACTAAATTAATGTCAGTGGATATAGCTTTCATCTTTTGCAAAAGATTTGGAATCTTAGACTTTAATTAGAGAGATGCTTTGATACATTGGTAGACTCAGATTTGAATGCTCTTTGGTCCTTTATAAAGGTGCAAAATTCTTAAACAAAATGTGATTATAAATATTTAAGAGATATTTGTTAGGATTAGTATGTATTTTTAATTTTTTTTAAAACCAATGTCTTTAAATAATATGGAATCCAAATATGTAAAGGTTTTATGTGAAAAAAATTAAAAAATAGTTATTCTATAAATACTTCATCTATTAGGCCTCAATAAGAAGGACAAGAGAAAACACCTTTGAGTGTGAAAAAAATAAATAAATAAATAAAGTCTTTAAGATTTATATAAGAGGATGATGAACTTCATAGAACTTATAATTTTATCTGATATGATGAAAATTTTATTTTTTTTGATATAAACATAAGTAATGAATATCAAATTATGAAAACTTCACATCAGTTATTCTTAGTTTATGATTATTGATGCTTGATTTTTTTTTAATTTTGTTTTATATCCCGGTTTTCTCTTTAACATATCAATCATAGCAAAGTACATAATCTCTTAGTCCAAAAGTGATGCCCACGAAGAAAATAATAATAATAATAATAATAATATAAAGTCCCTCTAAGATGCAGGATCAGGATCTAACAATCTTACAGCAATAACAAAATAATTTATATTAATACCTATTAATATGAACATTAATAGCTTTGGCTAGAGAGAAAATATGATTATAGATATTCCTAATACTTCAAGGGGGAACATGTGTTTGAGAATATTAGTGTTGGGTCCATCAAATAATAATAATAATAGTAATAATAATAAAATAGAGATCTCTCCACTGATGAGATTTCCATCAGTTCATCTATTGAAGGGAGCTGAGGTTTTCCTCAGGGCTTGGGACATTGGCAACATTAGTGCCTTTGTATTTGCTCCATTCAATATGGCTATTATGCAATGTATCTCTAAGCATTATTCAGGAGACTTTTATCTGAGAGTTGATGAACTGCATATTAATGATGCATGCTGATACTGACTTTGTCCTAAGCAGTAATATTAATGTCTTGAAAGCCCATTTTATATATATA